ATGTCCTTCTACAAACGAAAGAGTTTCTTCCTTCCATCAGTGGTAGGCTTTTGAGCCAAAGAAGATCATCTACTGGCTGAATGGAGACAGTAATCTTTGCTGATTTCTATGATTACCAATGTTCTTTGAACAAATGCTATACAAACTAAGGCCCGAGGGCCGAATACGGCTCTCCAAGGTCATTTACCCAGACCTTGCTCAGGGTCAACCTAAGTCTGAAATGACTTGAAAGCACACAACAACAACAACAACAACAACAACAACAATCCTGACTCATCAGCCAAAAGCAGGCCCACATTTCCCATTGAAATACTAATAAGTTTATATTTGTTAAAATTTTCTTCATTTTATTGTTTTTAAGTGTTTTTTCCACTACAAATAAGATATGTGCAGTGTGCATAGGAATTCATTCATTCTTTTTTCAAATTATAATCCGGCCCTCCAACGGTTTGAGGGACTGTGACCTGGCCCTCTGTTTAAAACGTTTGAGGACCCCTGCTGTAGAAGGTTGTGAGGAAGTTCCCCACAACATAAAAGGAGGTGAAGCGGGGGGCTGCAGAGGCAGGGAAAATTTTCAAAATTTGTTGCCTCTCCTTCTTTCTATTGTGGCAATTTCCTGGTTAGAATTTCACTCATAGATGCTCTCACTGAGAAAATAAAAATCTGGAATCAAGCCAGAATATTTGCAAGTACGGTATTTAAGCTATTTCAGTAACTTATATCAGTACCTTTATGAAATCAAAGACACTGGGTGAGTATTCTCTTTTTTTCTCTCTGCCCACTTTTTATCATTTGCCTATTATGCTGCTCTGTACAACCACGCTTATCCATAAACTTGATATCAACAATTTCATTCACCTATACTCTAAAATAGGGGTTCTCAAACTTTTTCAGATGTAAAGCCCTTGAAGCAAAAGTTTCTCATGAAGCCCCAAAAATGTTTATGTATTATATTACATACTATAGTATGTATAACCTTTATATATCCGGCATGGGCCAGGCCAGTGGCAGATGGATGGAGAGTACAAAAAAATTACAATATTTAAAATGAAGAACAATTTAAGCCAACATAAACCTAACAGTATTTCAGTGGAAGACCCCTGGGGACATACAATCCAACCCCCTTTTGCCATACAGGAAAAACATAATCAAAGCACCTCCAACAGATGACCATCCAGCCTTGGCATAATAATAATAATAATAATAATAATAATAATAATAATAATAATAATAATAATAAATAGAAGAAAACCCCAGTACAGTTCAATGGCGTGCTTCTAGCCCAAGTAGTCAAAGTATCATGTTTGCTATTATCCACAGTTCCAAGAATCCATTGAAATAGATACAGGGATCATATTGTAATTTTGGGCTTGATGTTTGGGTGTTAAATAATGAAATCCAGAAAAAAGGTAAATAATTAAATTCAAGAATCTAGGTAAAAAAATATTTGCACTTGTTAATTTGTCTCATTCCTCCTCACTTTAATATGACCATTGAAAGAATGTTCTAGCATTTTGATAGAAGAATAAACAGATAAAATTTTGATCAGCTTTTTCTGCAGGGCGTGGTCAAATAATTTACCAAAGAATTTGTTTTGACATATATCTCTAATGTTATTCAAGAAATGTATTGCGTCTGTGGCAGTCAAGGAAATGCCCATGAGGTTTTTCTTTTAAATAGCAAATTTCCTAATGTTTCAAGGTTGCCAAATTTAAATTTTCTTGTTCCTGGACATTTTGGCCCACTCTGCCTGCAATCCAAAAGGATTTCAACTCTAGCGAGCAAACAGCTAGGCATTCAAGGCAAACCTTTTGTACAAAAGAATTATCTCAGACATTTCATCCTACTCCATATAGCATCCCAGAACTCTGCCCTTCAGAGACATCTTCCAACTCATTGCTGATTTAATGCTGTGCCAGATGTAACAACTAAAATATGTGATGAATTTGTTTGTGTCCTCTGCAGTGTCATTGGTATGAGACGTTCAGTTTTATTTTATCTCAAGGACAATTGCAAAACAACAACCTTTAGCCATAAGGTTTCTTTCTTACAGCACAATAAAGGGCAGTCATTCAGCAAAATATGCTGCTGTAAAACAAATAAATATCAGGAATTCAGAACATGGAAACATCTTCCCTTAAGCATCCTGATTCATCTTGGAAACAGGCTTAAGTTTCCTGTGAGATCAAGGCTACCCGAGGCTCCTGCATGCCTCACTTTTTCACATCCATGTTTTCCTGGGGACTCATGCAGTTGTCTAATAGCAGAGTGGATAAACAAATTTTGCCTTTGCGAGTTCTGCAAACAAATGGCTCATTGTTAAAAGGCACAGAGCCACAAACTCTCAAACTCATTTATGCCTGGTTTTTCATTCTGATGATTGGCCATGGAGCCAAGTTTCCAAAAGCCCAGTGGGGCAAAAACCCAGCCAATCCTGCTGTCAACATTGCAATTAATTCGCATTGCAGAGGTGTAGATTGAATACCTGGGAGCTGAAGCATATCGTGGAATAGGCAGCCTCAGTGCAGGACACTTAATTGCAAATGACTCGTGGATGAGGAAAGGGGAACTGTCTTGTTCCCACTGCTGACCATGTTTTAAGGATGCTAATAAAATGCATGCAAAAGCTGTCTTTGCAGAGATTAACAGATAGGCAAAAGGCATAAAACCAAAGGTCAGAAGGGATTTAATAATACTAGAAGTGGATAGTGAGAAAATATATGGAGAAAAAAAGTCTTCACAATATTGAATTACAGTTCCTCCCTTCAAGTGGCACTTTTGACATTACAGAATATATGAATAAAGAGAAGTTGGTGTTATGTAATGCTTTTATATAACAGAAAAATATTTCCATTCACCTTGTGCTTTCTAGTAAGAGTTGCCTTATTGTTTAAAAGCCATGAACATAATCAAAATCATAGTTCACTATTCCCAGCTTCATAGAGAACCAGTGTGAGTGCTGGACTGTGACCCTGGAGACCAGTGCCTTGAACAGATAAGGAAACCCACTGGATGCTCTTTCAACCTTGGAAGAAGACAAAGACAAATTCTTTCTGAACAAATCTTATCAAGAAAACCATGATGGGGTGACCATAAGCTGGAAATGACTTGAAGGCACTCAACTCACACAAACACATCTTCATATATATTGCTATAATATGGGAAAATTCAGAAACGTTACTTTATGTGCTACAATGAAATTTTTACTTCATAGATTGCTAATGAAGGCACAGCTGCACTAAGAGGACAGTAGTTCACTGCTGGAAAGAGCATCTCTGCTTTTTCCTCTATAACATGCAGCAGTTGCCCCTGTGTTATGAATAATTATATTTTCTACTAATGTAGCAGCCCTTAGGATTCACAGCCAGCACCCAGTAGAGCAATATAGGGCAACACAATAAGATGTGTAGTGTTATGGCACGCCATTAGTGCATATTACAGAATTAAAAAAGTGATCATAGGAAAGTCATTCTGGGAATGTCATATTGCTTGATGCTACCTCAGAGTGAGAGATGCCCTGTGACAGTAGATTGACAGTCATTAGAGTAGATGATGGGGAAATGCGTTTTTGATTTCAGATAAAGATAGTGACATGAGGTTGAAGGAACACAGACTTTCCCAAGAAGAAGATTTTGTCCAGATATGGTTTCCATTCAGATTTCACAGGGAAAGACCATCATGTGCTTATTGATGGTTGTACATATTATTATTTTCTTCTTCTTTGGTTTGTTTGTCTTCCATTTTTATAAAAAGCTCAGTGTGTTTTGGTCCTTAGTTTATGGATTGGACTTCAGGGGCTACACATTCAATCTAACAACAGAAATTTCTGGAGTTGGTAGTTTTATAAAACAGCATAACAAAAAAGTGTTTCATGAATGAAATCCAACTATTATTAAGCATGTGAAACCCTGTTTCTTCTTTTGCCTGTGGATCCTATACAACACACTTGCAGGTAGTGTTGTACATAATAAAAACTTAAGACAAATTTTGGTTGTATCTACACTGTAGAAATAATGCAGTTGGATGTCACTGCATTTTTCTGCCACGACTCAATCCTCTGCAATCATGGGAGTTATAGTTTTGTAAAATCTTTAGCATTCTCTTCCAAAGAGTGACGGTGACTCACCACACCTAAAACTTCGAGGATTCCACAGCATTTAACCATGGCAGTTAAAATTACTGCCAAACTGCTTCAATTCTAAAGTGTATATGCATCCTTTGATATATTGCCGTTATTAGAAATAACTAGTTAGTAGTTAATGTTGGAAAAGTATTTGGTAGAAAAGGCGCTTTCCTATTTATCCTAAAATGGTCATCCCACTGAAATGAATAGAAGCCATTATGCTGATGAGAATTACATATACATCTTGGGGTTCCTGCATTAGGTGACGAATTGGTACTGAATTGGGATACATAACAGAAATGAAGCTATTTGTTTATTAATCTCTCTATATTGCTTCCCAGTCCGTGGGGGCTCCTGAAGTATTAAACAAATGGAAGCAATTAAAACAGTACAAGGATTTTAAAAATTGCACTGTATTGCAGTCTTAAAGTAGAAGAAATAATTTGCTAGGGCTTTGCTGTAATATAGCTGACATCATCTTTCACTGCTCTAACATATCCTGCTACTATGTAGGTGGCATATACCGGCATCTATTTTTAGTCACGATTTGCTTCATCTTGTGTGTTTTTAAATGCCCCTTAAAAAATATGGAAATTACTATTTTTGTTTTACTTAGTTAACCAATTATTCTTCATGTGGGTACAGGCTATATCCTCTGCAGGAGATTTTTTGAGATATAGAAAATTATTATTTATTTCCTGCCTGTCCTCATGGCTTGAGGTGGATCATAGCATTTACAAAATGGTCTCTTCTTACTGGTTTAACCAAAGAGTGTGTACCAAAATTTCAGTGTGTTTCCTCCTTCTTGTGTGTTTTTGTTTGATTTGCTGGCCTCTTTCTCTTTTCTTTCTTTGTTCTTTTATATGTTTCACTCTAGGAATCGGGCAAGGAGTGCCAGTGGTGGCTCTCATTGTGGAAGGAGGACCCAATGTAATTTCTATTGTCTTGGAATATTTACGTGACACTCCGCCAGTTCCTGTTGTAGTGTGTGATGGCAGCGGCCGGGCATCAGACATCCTTGCATTTGGTCACAAATATTCAGAAGAAGGAGGGTGAGTCTATTGCCAGAATCATTTGTTGAGATTAGTCCTTCTTTGCAAGCTTTGCCATTCAATATTTGCTCATTTCAGACACAAGTAGAACTGTGCTGCAGTAATTATAACCATTACTGTGAATAGCAATCAAGATTCCACAGCTGCCACTATATATGGAGTTTGGTTATGAACAAGACTCCACAGCATTCTTATTGAAAGAGTTAATCCCATACGTGCATTTCTTGAGTTGAATTGAATCCCTGAGGACATCATAAGGGGCCAGAAGTGCAGCAGGACCGAAACATGAGGGACCAAGAACATCATCTACAAGCACAGATTTTGAAGGCCAGGTTTGGCCTAGTGGGTGATCCTTCTGTTAGAAAGCATGGGCATTGAATAGTCTGGATCCACCCAGTAAACCTTGTGAATCATAGTACGCATATCTCAAGCTGTACCTCAATATGGTAACCAATGCAGTATCCCTTGCCAGCTCACTGTTTCATAACTGTTAGATGATCTTGTTTTCTTTATAAAGTGACCTGTTGCACACTGGTGCCCTTTAGTGTATGTATGTATTTATAAGGAAACAGAATAGCATTCAATATTTGGGGATTGTACTATACAGCATGGACTCTGGGAATATGGCAGAGCTTGGAAATGTTTTTGGACTGGGGAGTTTAACTGTGATTCCCATGTTGTTGCTTTTTTCAAAAAGAGTACCCATGGCTACCAAGGCTATCTTCAGGACTTCCTTTACCTGTGATGATGGTGTGTGGAAGGAAATGCTTTGAGTAAATATGAATAATAAAAAAACAATAAGAGAATGGCTTGTACCACATTTCTCAGTTGAAAGTGCTTAACACTTTCACTGTATTCCTAAGCAGAGAATGCAGCAATGAAACTGAATACAGATCATCGTTTTCCTGGCTCAAGGCAGTTCTCACACAAAAAAATCCTGCTTTTAAAAATCCTTTCATAATTTTGTCTTATATGTCTCATATCCAAAGACTACTACATGTTGCTAATACAGCTTTGTTAACTGAAGGACATAGTTAGTACATGATCAAACTGTGTAGGCTATATGATGCTCCTGTAGCTTACTGCCATGATAGTATCACATTACGGCTTTGTTTGAACAAATGCTACATCTTGCTCTGTTTACTAATGAATACTGCATTTTTTCTGCATGATTTAATTTGTACTTTCAAGATCTCTTTGAATGTCTAATTTCTAAAGTAAGAACACACACACACACACACATGGAAAGGTTGTACTAAAATGTCACCAAAGACCTGTAGATACTGTAGAAGAGTAGAAGAGCCAACTAGTGAAAAAGTATCTGTCTAGTCCAGTGTTCTTTTCATAGAAGCCTCTGGGAAGCCCACCAGAAGAACTTCATTGTAGCAATATCACCTTGTTTTTTCAACCAATTGAAGCATATTGCCTGTAGTATGAGAGATGCTACACAGTTGTCCTGACTTGTAATCATGGTCCTAACCTCTATGAATTTATCTAATCCCCTTTTAATGTTGCCCACACTTTAATGATGCACCATATGAAGAAGTACCTCTTTTTCTGGTTTTAACTGGTGTTTAGCTGGTTGCCTCCAGGTTCTGGTTTTGAGAGAGCCTAAAGATTTATGCTAGTAAACACTGGATACTATATTCCCTGAAATAACAAAATTCTACTTAAATACCTTCCTAGTGCCCAGAGCAGCAGAAAACAAGCTTGATCCCTCCTCCCTGTGAGGGGAAGTCATAGGGAGGATGGAGCACGCTTGTTTTCTGCTGCCCTGGAGACTAGGATGCAGAGCAATGGCTTCAAACTACAGGTAAGGAGATTCCACCTGAACATTAGGAAGAACTTCCTGACTGTGAGAGCTGTTCAGGAATGGAACTCTTCCCAAGTGTGGTGGATGCTCCTTCTTTGGAGGCTTTTAAACAGAGGCTGGAAGGGCATCTGTCGGGGGTGCTTTGAATGTGATTTTCCTGCTTCTTGGCAGGGGGTTGGACTGGATGGCCACGAGGTCTCTTCCAACTCTATGATTCTATGATTCTATGATTCTAGTTGTTGGCACAAAACAGAGTTCTAGTCATCCCCCTTCTATTCCTTTTTGTCAGTCTATTATTACTATTAATACTATTATTACTATTATTATTATTATTAACTTTATTTGTACCCTGCTAGCATCTCCCGAAGGACTCAAAGGCCAAGGTCTCAAAACACAACGTAATAGTACATAACCTAAAGCAAATTAAAAACAGTTAAAGCAATATTAAACAACAGCAATAAAACAATACACCAAGACACAATAAAACTGGGCCGGCCAGAGTAATGGGTACAGATTAAAAGTGCTGATGTGACAGGTGATATGTGGGATTATAGGGTAAGTGCAATGTGCAATGTGCCAACAATCTTAATTTCTAATAAAGTTCTTATGGGACTTGTTGTTGGAGTTTTCCTATTCTGGAAAGGCACATCAGAACAGCCAGGTCTTCAAGTTCTTCCTAAAGACTGCCAACGTAGGGGCCTGTCTCAGATCTTTGGAGAGGGTGTTCCAGAGTCGGGGGGCCACCACAGAAAAGGCCCTGTCTTGCGTCCCCACCAGACGCGCCTGCAACGCTGGCAGGATCGCGAGCAGGGCCTCTCCGGATGAACGAAGTGAGCGCGTGGGTTCATACACGGAGATGCGGTCACGCAGGTAGGATAGTCCCAAACCGTTTAGGGCTTTGTAGGTAAGCACCTGCACCTTAAATTGGGCTCGGAAAATAAACGGCAGCCAGTGGAGCTCCTTGAACAGGAGGGTTGACCTCTCTCTGTAGGGAGCTCCAGATAACATCCTGGCCGCTGCCCGTTGAACCAGTTGAGCCGTTTTCAAGGGTAGCCCCACGTAGAGCGCATTACAGTAGTCCAGTCTAGAGGTGACCAAGGCATGGACCACCCCAGCCAGATCAGCCTTTGCGAGGTACGGTCGCAGTTGGCGCACAAGTCCCAATTGTGCAAAATGCTTACTTCTATAGTCTGGCTCATCTTCATTGCCATTTGCTGCATCTAAATATTTGAAAATTCAAGAATGTATGTCTATTCCTTTGACATGTTTATAAGTTAGAAAAACAGATCATATAGGCATAAAAGGAAATGAACTATTGAGTTATCCACAAAGAAACCAAACATTTAAACACAGATTGGCAAAAATATTATGATTAAAGATAGCCTTTTTCTTTCTGTGCTTCTTTCATGTCATTTGCACACCACGTAGTTATTGGCTATGATGGTTCAAGCCACCTTAATCACAGCATAATGTCATATGAGTTAACACATTCTTATAGATATTGCAGAGATTTTTACTAACATTTGTAAAGGTGCCTGCCTGAAATAAGACATCAGTTCACCTTTTTTTAATGTATTAACTGGCATTTCATTATTTAGAGAGAGGAAGGGAGTTTTCGGATAGTAATGCTTCTTCATCATGCTGTTTCATTGCTGAATTCTGATAAATGTATAGATCTGGGCATTATCTTTTGACTTCTGTCTCATTTTTGTAAAGGAAAATTCTACAGGTATTTCGTTTTTAAGACACCACCAAGACAACTCCCATTTTCTAATTGACATGCACTGGTTGTCTGTTCAGAGTACAGTGTGTTCACAGCAGCAATAGTGGTTTCTCTGCTTAGAATCGATAAACTCAAGCTGTTCATTTCAATACCTTAAATGACTTCTTGGAACAAAATACAGCCACGCAGGGCCTATAGTTAAATAAGAATAGAGCTTGTATTGTGAGGAAATGTCTTTAAAGGGATGATTGCTATGATGGTGCTTCAGACTAATGCTAGGCCTGCAACTATACTGAGATACCCCAGCATGCAAGGCCAGCCATTGCCATTTTCATCTCCTGACAATGTTGTCCTAGCCTTCAGAAGAAAAGTAAAAATTTGGCTTTGGGATCAGGTTTTCTGAGAATAATGCGGTGCAATAACAAATTTGGAATATGTGTAATGACCATGGAATGGGTTGGACTATGATTTCTGGATAGCGTGATTTTAATATTGAATGTATTGTTTTTAAATGTTTAATGTGTATTAATTTTAATTTATTTTAAGCTTAATGTTTTGTATGCGTTGTTAGGCATTAAATAATTGCCTATATGTAAGCTGCCTTGAGTCTCCTTCAGGGTACAGAAAAGTGGGGCATAAATAGGGTAAAAAAAGAAAGAAAGAAATTATCAGCACTATCATGCTTCCTCCCATTTCCAGAAGCCAACTGGACCAGCAGTTGCATATTTACTGGTCACTGAAGATCTTTGGAGTTTGAGACGCCATCTTATACTGTATGGAGGGGTACCAGACAATTGTATCTTGCTGAATCTTCCTTCCACACCCCAGCATTTGCTTCTTGTGATAGCTACCTCACAATAGTCAGTTGTGAATAGCATGGGGATGTGTTGAACATATGCCAGTAGGCTTATGGCACTGTTGACATATTAGATTTTATGATCCAGGTAAGCAAGACTGGGGAACTCTAGGCCAGGGGTTCCCAAACTTTTTTGATCATTTCTTTTCTGTGGAACCCTAACTCTATTCCTGATTTGTTTAATCAAAATATCATAGAATCTTGGAGTTGGAAGGTGCCCTCAAAGGCTATCCAGCCAAACTCCATTTAGCCATGCAAGAAAACACTATCCAAATCCTCCTCGCAGTTGGACATCCAGCTTCTGTTAAAAGAAGGTAACTCTACCACACTCTGATATAGTTTGGATCATTATACAGTAATTCAGATGTGTCCCTCAATTTCCTATATAATGTCTAGTTTTTTCTCTTGATATTTTATGAATAATGTTCCAGTATTCCATATGTTTTTCATCTCAAAAGCTGTACAATAGAGAGAGAGAAATGAAATGTGAAATCAGAGTGAAAAATCAGCTACATGTGAATCACTCTTATTGTAAAATGTTGAGATGTGTAGCCATAAATACATGATAGCAATAGTTGTAGCACAAAAATAGCTATAAAGGAGACTAT